TAGAAGCTAATAAATACATGAAAAAATGCTCCACATCACTAGCCATCCATGAAATGCAAATTAAAACAACACTGAGCTACCGTCTCAATCCAGAAAGAATGGCTATCATAAAGAAATCAACTAGCAACAGGTGGTGAATGTTTTTAATGTAAATGGTTAAAGATATGGAATATTATACACTAGTAGAAAAGAAGACAATTGTGTCATTTTGTTGATCCATGGATCTTGGGATATGTTGTCTGACATGAAATGAAATAACTCAGAAAGGCTGATATAACCCACATGTGCAATTTTAAAATGTTGAGCTCATAGAAACAAACTGGAATATGTTCACAAAGTGCTGGGGATCAGATGGAAAAGGAAGATGGAGGTTATAGTGAACAAACTTAATTATGAGTAAGTTTTGAGGATGCAAGGTTCGTTGTAGTGATTGGTGTTAATTAGTTTAATCATGGCAATCATTACAAAATGATAGTCATCTCCTTGAATACATACAAACCTTCTCTTAATATTAAAATAAAACTACTTTTTGAGAGCCTGCTAGCAGATATAGCATTGCTGTAAAGAGTATCTCCTACATAGTCAATGCAGTTCCCACCTCAGGGACAATGAACTCTCTAGCACCATGAATGATGCCACTTTACCCTAAGTGCAGTGAAATAATCCAATTGGTTTGTGTGTGACACTTCATGAAGAAGTGAAAGAAAGTAAAATTGCTGCTCCAAGATAGTGCTCGGGTGCTTCACGTTTCTAACTGCCGCATTCTGGAAATCCCTGTCTTATTCTGAGAACTTAAGAACATGCAAGCTGTAACTGCTGTCTGGGACATGTGTTTTTGTGCAGCCTGGTGTCGTGAGACCTCAGCATGGCCTTTGAGGACGTCCTCCAGTGGGCAGGAGACACAGGCTGCTTTCAGGTGCTGGCGGTGTCCCTTGGTGTACTGATCGGTGTCATGTCCTCCAGTTACGAGTTCTTGGAGAACTTCACAGCAGGCATCCCCGAGCACCGCTGCTCTGTCCACCTTCTGGACAATCCTAACCCTGAAGCCAACGTGACCTTGAACCTGACTGTGGAGGCCCTGCTCAGAGCTTCCATCCCAATGGATCCAAACGGGAAACCTGAGCAGTGCCGTCGCTTCCGCCAGATCCAGTGGCAGCTTTTAGACCCTAATGCGTCAGCCGGCAATAATGCTGAGCTGGAGACAGAGCCATGCCTGGATGGATGGACATATGACCAAAGTGTCTTCACTTCTACCATTGTCTCTGAGGTAACGTGTTTATTGTAGGTGACTGGGAGTGGGGGTGACTGCATGTGGATCTGACATCATGGGCTGAGGTGTATCAGTTTCTAGCTCTACAAAATATTCAGGACTACAGAAAGGGAATTAAATGTTTACCCTGTTGTGTGTGTGTACATGTGCACATGTATATGTGCATGTATGTTTATTTTCTATATAAATCTTTGCAAAGCAGAAAGTATAGCCTCATATTTTCATTTTCTGCCTTATACATTTCCATTTTTATATTTAAGAACGGAATATATTGTATATTTAAAAAGAGAATAAAAGCCACATTTTAATAAAACTTCTGATCAAATGTGTTGGCAACATTCAAGTGGTACAAGTGACAGTGAATTCTCACGACCCAGTGGTCTGGGTAGAAACCTTAACTTTGCCAGTGAAATTTTAGTATCTTTGTGTTTTAGCTTATTAATGATTGAGGTGGGAGTATATTACATCATTTTTTAGGACAATCCCATCTAATTGTGGTTATAATAGTGCAATGATTAAAAACATCAATTTATGTATCATATGGTAATAATTAGCCCGGAGCTTCAATGATGGTATGAAAAGCATGCATAAAATATTTGAAACTAACTGGCCCGTAGAGGTTATCCAAACAGTGATCTATGTGTGTATTCAATTAATGTGTATGTTCGCAGAACTTGTGCACAGGATATGTTAATTACTGCATGGAGTGTAAAGTGTAATTATGACTTCACTGAAAATAGAAACGAGAGCAAGCTGCTTGTCCCTCGCCCATAATCACACGCCCAGTAAACGATATACAATAATTACATTTGTTTTGGGATTATTGTAAGCCTTTGCTATCCCAAATATACTTACCAAGATTCTTCCAGTATGCAACTTAATTATTACAAATGAAATATTGATAAACACGGAAACTCCTATGAGTCCAAGAAAAGACGTACAAAGAAAAGAAGATGTAGGTCGCCCCAAAAGTTGCTCTACG